TTTACAGACGCGTCTACAGCAAACGGGTACCAACGCTGATCGCCCTCGGCCAGGTCGACCACGTGTGACGTCACATGCAGAGGATCGTCAGATTGTCTTACGCCACCCCCGTAACCGATTTTTGACGGCTACATCAACCAGAAATGAACTGTTTAGGGGTAGACTGAGTGCGCAAACTGTTCGAAACCGTCTGAGAACTGTTCACCTTCAAGCACGACGGCCATACTGCGGGCCGATTCTGACTCAATTACACAGACGAAGGCGGAAGCATAATGGTGTGGGGTGCTTTCTGTGGCAATGCACGTTCCAGGCTTCTTGTCATCCGTGGCAACCTCAACGCTGCTGCTTACCGCGACCAGGTACTGGCACCAGAACTTCTGCCTTTTATGGCAGTACATGGACCCGGTTCGATCTTCCAACACGACAATGCCAGACCCCACACAGCAATTTTGACGAGGAATTTCCTTCAAAATGCGGGAGTCAACGTCATGGACTGGCCGTCAAGGTCTCCCGACCTCAATCCCATCGAACACGTCTGGGATGCTCTTGGCAGAAGTCTGCGTACTCTCCAGAACCAACCACAGAATTTGCAAGATCTTGGCACCATTTTGCAGCAACGATGGCGTGTCTTCCCAATCATGTGTTCAAAAGCATCACAAGGTCCATGCGGAGGCGTTGTGTGGCAGTTGTCAACGCACATGGTGGCCATACACGCTACTGAACTTGTGTGCCATCAGATTCTCGTGCTTGGGACTAATGATTTAAACTGTTGATGTTATTACCGAATACCGTAGGTGCGTGGAACAAATTATGGTTACCACCGTTAATTAAAATCCTTCTTTGGACATTAATGATTAAAAATTACCTTCTCTGATACATTTGTCCATTGTATATCATATAAGGGATTACTTTTTAAAATGTGAAGTTTTTAATTTGACTCAGTATATTTACATGGTGCTTTATGGCAAAATTACTCGGGTTTATTAATAACAACAACGATAATAATAATGATTGTCTGGATGTCCTGAACACTGTGTTTGGCTCTCTCTATTAATGAAAACAACATCCTAAAGCAGTAACCGAACAAATAACTTAGTAACAAAAATCTTTTTTTTCCATAATCATGAAATATAAAACGTCAGCACCAGGTATATTTGTTTGTTTGTTGTTGAACGCCACACTCCGCAGTATTGCAGCTATATGTCGGCGGTCTGTACATCGTCTAGTCTGAGTGAGTGAGTGAGTATGGTTTTACGCCGGTTTTAGCAATATTCCAGCAATATCACGGCGGGGGACACCAGAAATGGGCTTCACACATTGTACCCATGTCGGGATTCGAACCCGGGTCTTCGGCGTGACGAGCGAACGCTTTAACCACTAGACTACCCGACCGCCCCCGTCTAGTCTGAACCAGACAATCCAGTGAATGACATCATTAGCATCGATCCACGCAACTGCGATACAATTACATGCAACAACCAAGTCAGCGAGTCTGACCACTCGGCCCCGTTGGTCGTCGCTTACGACAAGAATATTACCTCTTATGCCAAGCATGGGGTGCTGAACACCAATTCTACCCCGGATCTTCACGGGTCGTCAAACCAAACTGTGTAACTAGTCACCTGTGTCTGCTTGTATGGTGTCATGGACCAGTGCTAGAGAGAGATGGTGTTTTCCCGACTTTATGCGTATTTCTCACACGGGCCCGCCAGGTCAATTAGTGGTTTGTGTATGCGAGTCTTCAGAACAACAACACAGTGTCATTAGACAATGACGTTAAGACTCTTTTGTTCAGGTATTCCTAAGTTACGTTTTTGTGTGTGCCTTGTTATTTGGGTTGGCCCCACTTTGTCGTATTTAATCGCTTTACTTCCTTTTCAGTAAGTTCATTGTTTCCCAAACAATTGTGTATAATAACAACAGTAACTAAAGCTTGTCTTCGTGGAGTTGGACCCCTCACAGTAATCTCCTTAATTAGCACCTCTTGAACAAACACCCACATTGTTTATATTGTTGTCATTGTTTATCGGTGTAAACATCAAGTACAAACAATAGCCCGGGATTCCGATTCTTTGTGAACGCGAGATGTCGGGTGGTACAGATGTGACTTCAACGTTTAAAACTGCACACACTACCTAACACATCGAACCGCATTACAAACCACCCTCAATCTAAACAAGGTTCTCACTCTAGAAGCAATACTAAACCCACAAAATAAACTAGAAAACTTCAAGGCCTTAGGCGTATTCTTAATCAAAACGGAACTAATATAACGCATCTAAAAACACTATAATCTACCAAATCAAAAATACATAAACAAACAAACATCCACCATACCCAGCTCCCTTAGTTCTCCTCCCCAATCCCATCGACATCTATTCCAAATCTCAAAATTCCCAAATTCTATATAAGCAACCCCTAAAGCCCCCTATTGGATTGCACACACCACTTTCGCCCCTTTCGGAAACACATTAAATGGCCTGGCCGGGCCCGTGTGCGAAATACGCATCAGTCGGAAAGCGCACGTTAAATCTCCAAAGTAAGTAAGTAAGTAAGTTAAAACGAAATACATTAGAGTACGGGTATATGTGAAAGGTGGAACGAGTCCGCCATCCGGATCACTATCATCAGGAATATACTATATACTGATATACTATTCCAAATGTGGACTCATACGAAGAGGTGACCAGGACAGTGGTCCCAAGGATCAACTGATTAATAGTTTAAATCTTATATTCGCCCTGCTTACGACCCTCCTTCTCTTTCTCCTCCCATTTCTCCATAATTACTTTCCTCACCGAGCAAGACTATTTCTACTCAATGTTTTTTCAATTGTACACAGTGTATAAAGTGGTTGGTTGGTTTGTTGTTTAACGCCGCACTCAGAAATATTCCAGCTATATGACGGAGGTCAGTAAATAATCGAGTCTGGACCAGACAATCCTGTGATTGATATCATGAACATCGATCCACGCAATTGGGATCGATGACATGTATCAACCAAGTCAGCGAGCCTGACCATCCGATCCCGTTAGTCGCCTTTTACGGCAAGTATGGGTTTTTGAAGACCTATTCTACCCCGGAATCTTCACGGATCGTGTATAAAGTGAGGAAAGTTATTATCCCGAACGAGTGAATATCTGCAGCTATTGCTTGCACATGAAAACAAATCAGCCCATGCTGGCCAGGATCGCCAGAAGGTTTTTACATCCACCTCACATATCGGGTACCCATTCCCTGCTGGGGGAACAGAGGCACATTTGAACTAAGTCACTTGCCCAGGCTGAATAACAACCCGGCCACCAGCGGGATATGATCTCAGCACCAGGCGGTTGCTAGCCCCGCGCCTTCCCACTAAGCTAGTTTAGTTAGTTGTGTTAGTTAATTTAGAATTAGTTTGCATTTAAGTGTTGTTATTGGGGTTTAAACGTAACTTAAGGGATGTAATAAATCTTTAAAAACTAAATTTGTGTTTGTGGTTATTTCAATACGTGACAGGGAACCAGGCTACTGGGAACTTACCTGTGTTTGCTGGCCGCAGACGATGAGAAGCAGGTGGCAGATGGACTGTCTAACATTCGCTTTGAGGTGGGGATTACAGCTTACGACTGAAGAATCAAACAAGCTGTTTTGCGACCGGTTTTAGTGGACATTTCGTATGAATATGGTATGGTTGTGTACTGTGAATATTCTCAATCCAGCAATGATTTCCAGAGTAGTAAACCGGATGCCAGTTGTCTTGGAGTATGCTCCGCTGTAACATACATACACACCCGTGGGTCTGCCAGGGAGAGGATACTTGCCGAAGGGAAGACTTCTGACCTTTCAGCTATATCTGCAGCGTTAAACCTCGCCAATTTCAATTGGTGTTTACGCTCTATTTAAAATGTATAACTCTTTCTAAATATACATTTGCACAAGAAAGATTTCGTTCACGGGAAAAAGGGTTGTGTATCAATAGTAAAATAATCATGTAGAAGATGATCATTATTTTTTTATTAGTATGATTCTCTTCGTAAAATATGTATACCTAATAATTATGTTGCGCAACCCTCTGTTCATAATTTTAATATTCTTTTATCAACATCAAATGTGAACACCATCCAACACATAGCCATGTTTGTCGCCCATGCAAACTGTCGGAGAGATCCTTGTTAGTGTTTGTGTCATTCACAATATACTGTCTGGCGTACACAATGTACTTGCTACAGTGCAACAATGTTATGTTCATGTAATAATGGACAGCCATCGTGAACAAAACTACTATACACAATTGAAAGACAGTACACAATTCAATGGCAGTACAAGCACAATAGCAATATTAAATATGATAGCAGTGGTGATAGAAAATATCAGTGATGATAATATTAACCAAGCAGCAACAGTGGTCAAGCACGTTCTTGTTCTCTTATTTCCAAAAATCCAATCTGGAAATTTTCACAAAGTGCCAGACCAGTGTAGAGGCACTGGAACATTACAGAAGATTCTAGATCACTCTTGACCACACAACCATCTAAATATAGCAACTTCCACAACGCTGATTACGTAGTGCTACATTCCTGACAACTAATTATTGTCCAAACACAATGCCGTAAACTTCCAGTAAATGTAACTTATATACTACAATTGTAACATTGTTTAACAATAAGTTACCCTGCAATATGACAATAATGTAACTAGGACATTAAGCTCACAGTCGTAGCAGTTGAATACAATATCTGTTCTGGGTGGAATTGGGTTGATCGCATTCACTGGAGCGATGCAGAACACGGCCCTTTGTAAGACTAAACTGTATGTTGCCATTTCCTTCCTTTTGCTTTCGAGATTTTAGTACAAATTAAATGCAACGGAAGGATGTGTGTTCTTACATAAAGATCTATAATCGGATTATATCTGGTACGAATTGATATACAACCGTGATGTGTAATCGGCCGTAGCGGCTCGCAAGTGGAGGGAAGCAGTACGGGTTTACCACGAAGAACACCACAACGCAAATTGTGAAACATTTGGAAAAATAAGACCTTTATTTCTATCAAAGGTAGGTGATATACGCTGACGTAATATTTACATTAAAATGAAAAAAAAATAATACCATGAAAAACACATAACACAGGCAAGTTACAGGCACACATTACAGGATGGATGAGTGTTGAGTCAAGTATTACAAAGTCAGTAATTGCAGTAATGTCTTTTGAAGTGTGAATGAGGCTGGAATGGCGGTGCAGGAACACACCAGTGTCCAACAGGGTGAGCATCATTGTCCAATGGGTCACCATAGCAACCTCACTATAACATAGAAGGTTAACCAGCCGGGGATTGTATCAATCCTAGAAGTGCACAAAAAACAAAGTCCATGGTGATGTACTCGCTCATAAGGGATAATGCCCGTTTTGAGGTAAAGGGAGATATTCAGATATTGTCATCATGTGTGTTTTAACTTGGTGACTTCACGCTGTTCCGCCTTGCGTTGACTCTGTCGTTGGAATGAACACTTTCTGTCTGCCTGTGTCCCGGAAGTGACGCCACAACATCACGATCATCTTCACGACTAAACAAAACACCGCCATACCCAGCAATACAGCAGTGAAGATCGAGTTCCGCTTCTCGGGATTCCAGTTGTTAATGATACTCCCGGAAAGGGCGATAATCACGACGATGTACTCGCTGAATATATACCTCGTATACCTGTCCAATACGGTCCAGTCTGAGATGGAGAATACCACAAGCTCCACGGCCAGGATACTTAATGCGATTGTGCTGGACGTGCTCTGGTCAAATCTGGGGTGTTCGCCGTAGGTCAGGGCAGTGGCCACGTTCAGGAGAGTAGCAATGGTGCACCAGGCTCCGTAAAACGCCAGTCCGTTTTGAACAAATGCCCGGATGAGCCAGATCTCCTTTTTCCGCTCTTGTTTGATGAGTGTCTCGGAGTGCTCAGCCAGGGCTTTGCAAGAAAGACCAATGAGTGTGTATATGGAAATAGCGGCGAGAGCCAGAAACACAAACGACGCCCATACTAGCTCCCAGCACCACAGGAAGGTCCAAGAAATGACGATAAACCAGTTGAGGATGGAGAGGCTGAAGAAGGTCGATGTGAGCAGGGCGGGGCTGTTGTAGACGTAGCCGTCGGGGGCACGGCGGCAGATGTTGACGAGGGCGTAGATAGTCCAGATAGCCTGCCACACGTAGATGGCCCCCCAGATGCTAAAGGTGGGACCAGAGGGCGTGATCTCGAGCATTAGCTTGTCCGAGATGTTTGCAATCGTATTTGGGTAGAGCTCTAAAATATACAGCAACAGCACAATGTCAGTTTTCTGCTTCAATATTGACAACTTTTTGGTCTCGGCCCGTCGAGAAAAAAAGTAATTATGCTTTAGACTAGCTGTAAACATACTAGCCCCCTCCCCTCACCCCCCGAATATCTAATTTGTGTAGTATATATTACAAATCCAAGTGAATTCATCAGTGCCGGACACTGGCTGTCATGGCTACCTTCGGTAAGAGGTACCCCTGCGCCGTGGCAATGTTCCTTGGGTTGACAGCAAAATACCAGTCTTAAGGGTTGTCAGACAAGGGGGAAACGTGGCGTGTAAGTAAACTCGGGCTTTTCTCCCACATTAATCTGACACGTCGTGATGTAACTAAAATACTGTTCAAAGTGATGAGTTACAAGTCCTTAAAAAGTGATAAGGAAAAGCTGGAAGGACGCTAGGAGTAGTACAAGTGTATGCCATGAAACCTACAACGAAAGGTATGGTGGCGACAGACTACCCTATCGTCCTACCCCATGACCAGCGGTTCCCACCATAAATAGCGGGTCTTTAGACTACCTGTAAGTTGATGATATGTAGTGAAGAAAGTTCAGTGTTGCAATTTGCTATACAGGAGCACGTTTGACACTTTATGCCTTATGTATAGTTGTTTGAAAGCACACAACCAAAGTTATGGGGGCGAGAGATGAATGGTTTTATCTTGGCATTGAGAAGGGTCCAACTCTGCATAAATCTTTGCGGCGGTTTAGGCAACGATACCACACTTGCTTCCACATTCCCCATAAATAGGAATAACACTTTACTAAGGAAACCAACACTTTCGCCTCACATTTGGTAATTAACTATTACGCTGGATTTTGCAAGTTAGACATTATTGGGCTAATGAAAAACAGATAGAAGAAAGAGCTGCATGCCGTACTTGGGTTACAGCTGGTAAATATGAAAACGTTCGTCACGTGATGCGTATAGTTTCTTTGTTTGAAACCACATAGAACCTTGTCATGTGTTTAAATGATACATGTGAGGGTGACGTACTTAAGTCGATCCCCAGAAACTCTCTGGTGTTGCCCAGGAGGCTGAGGAACTGGTTGGCGAGGAAGGCCACCAAGTTGCCGACCATCAAGGCAATGAGGAACGGCGAGTGTCCAGCCATTCTGGTCAGTGGTGGAGGGGGCGGCTGGAACAGAAGAATACATCTCAAGTAGGTCTTCATATGTGACAACTAGACTGCACACACGGACATTCAAACAATGGAAGATCCACTCGATATATGACAACTAAACTGTACACACGGATATTCAAACAATGGAAGATTCACTTGATATGTGACAACTAGACTGTACACACGGATATTCAAACAATGGAAGATTCACTTGATATGTGACAACTAGACTGTACACACGGACATTCGAACAATGGGAGATTCACTTGATATATGACAACTAGACTGTACACACGGATATTCAAACAATGGAAGATCCACTTGATATGTGACAACTAGACTGTACACACGGATATTCAAACAATGGAAGATTCACTTGATATGTGACAACTAGACTGTACACACGGATATTCAAACAATGGAAGATCCACTTGATATGTGACAACTAGACTGTACACACGGATATTCAAACAATGGAAGATCCACTTGATATGTGACAACTAGACTGCACACACGGATATTCAAACAATGGAAGATTCACTTGATATGTGACAACTAGACTGTACACACGGATATTCAAACAATGGAAGATCCACTTGATATATGACAACTAGACTGTACATACGGATGGCGCATGGCGAGTTGGGTATTTGTCCACACGGACATTGGACCGTTTACATTGTGTCCGCACTGACCACACCAGATGATCGATACAAGGTGAGGTGAAATGGGGTTTAACGTCGCGTCCAAGATTATTGCACTTATATAGCGACGTGCATGTACGTCTGTGTGTTTGTGTGGCTGCTTGTACTAGTCCGGACTGATGCCGATTTATAGAGCTAGCTAACTGAGATACCATGCCGCAGTTTAGCATGAATACCCCACTCAGACACAGTATACTGACTCCGAGCCGACCAGTCCTTGTTTTAGCCCCTTAATGCCGAGCGCCATACAGGGTAACAACAAGTACCATCTTTTAACGTCTTTTGGTATGACGCGGCCGGGTATCGAACCCCGGACCTTCCGCTCTCCGGGCGGACGCTCTACCACTAGACCACGGAGGCGATACAAACGTATTCTTTGGCTGCTTGATCTTTGTCACGATGAGGTTAATATGCAACGTGTATTCACCAAGCTATCTAGAATATAGCGCGTTGTTATAAGAAATAGGACAAACATCGCTCTCTCCATCAGCATGTGTGACGCCATTCCATGCGCGTGATGCAGAGGAAGGGACAGGCGGGGGCGACTCCGACCTGAGTACATCCCCTCGTCTATATATATATCTATATCTACTGCTGCAATCACCAGGCAACGGACACGCTAGAGATGTGCCTCCGGTAGAAGGCAGATTGTTATCGACCTCCCCACTTATAGTTCAAAGACAATTCATCGATTTGACTTATTCTAAAACCACATACAACTGTCATTTATTTAAACATTTACGGAATGAGAGTCCCGAGAGTCCGTGCCTCGTGTCAACACCAACAGCCGCACGGTCGCGAGGTCTGTTTACACTCTACAATATTATTTTTCAGCTTAATATAAATAAGTAAATATAAAATATAACATAAATAAGCAACACTTGCTTGATACCGGTGTTAGCACCTACACCGAAACGTTGTTCATCCATAATTTCTTATCCTTACTTAGTACTCCAACTTCTAAATGCCTATCAAAGAAATGAATATAAATAGACTGCTATTAACTTTAATCTAAGTTCCTACACTAACAGTTCAATTTTGTTAAATTCTAAGATATACAGACATTTATTTCTACTCACATGTTTCAGATTCTGCGTTTCTGTGTTCGACTGGTAAACGTGTTCACTGACTCCCCAGGACTTACACAACAAACCCACGGATTAAGTGACGAACAGCAATAACGTGGCCAAAAACGTGAATATGATTAGCCTGAAGTGAATCCACCTATTCTCGGTAACACGAAAGATGAAAGCATGTATTGAAGGGAGGTAACTACGGTAGTTGTAAATTCACTCAAGCGTAGCAATGTCTGTGGCATGTGTGGGAATATGGTCAGCGGTGACTTGTTTTCTCTCGCTATACCGCCACGTGACTGTCTGTTCCAGGCTACCTTAAAACATACATGAGGGTCGTGTCAAAGCTATTTAGGAGCAAAATTGTAAATAGGGGTTACTCTAGAGTATAGTATCCTACCTTAGTGTGGGAAATCTGGGATAAGTTATGTCCAAAAATTAAGGGTAATTCATCCAAGTGAAGCATACCTAAGTGGAAATAGGAAAATGTATCCTGGGATAATTTACACTAACTTTTATTGGAAGAAAATGTGGCAAGATGTCGACAGATATGTGAAAACATGTGAAAAGTGTCAATTTAATGCAAAGAGATGGGTCTTGAGTGTTCAGATGTAAAAAAAGTGACAGTGTATCCGATCCTAGATAAATAGAACTAGCAACAGGTTAACATATTCTGGTGTTATTTATGTTGATACTTGAATTTTTAATCATGTTTGGTTGGGGTGTGGGGTGAGAATTGAGGGGGGGGGGGGGGGGGGGGGGGGGGGGGGGTGGGTAAATATATGTTATATATATGTTGAGTAGGATTAAACACACTGGTATGGGTTCAAATTCACCAGGGAGAATCAGCCTGACCACTAGATAATTTCATCCCCGGATGAAGAATAGGGTAGGATGATATTCACTCTTACATGCACATGTAACCTCTATATGTACAGTCAATCATCACGCCTTCATTGGTTTGCCTACCGTGTACAATGGTTGTAGGCATTCTGAGACGACCCCGTTTTAAATCCGTTTCGCGCAACTGCCCTCTGCTGCGTCATTGTAAACATAAAAAAACTGGTATTTGTCTTGGTCAAGTGACTTGACCTTAGACTTGCACAAGTCTCTAATTATTAGTTTAAATCTGATCATACTTTTCTAGATTATATATATACTATGAATAAGATGTCCCTATAAGAGACAGGATCTCTGTACTGTTCATTTGTCTTGACTTGCCTATTAGGGGGGTAAAATGACAACCCATCCATGGACTTATCTTTCAGTACAGCCTTGGAGCAAGGGTAGCGGGTCCTGTCACCTGCGGGTAAGGCCAATAGTACAATGAGATATAGCAGAGACTATTATATGGTCTCTGGATATAGCCTTAGCCCTTTGTGTGAAACCGGATCAGAAACCTCCGGAGCATTCATATCGGAACATTAATTGTACTCGCTCGAGGACGTTATCGCTGTTATGTGCTGCCTGGCTATCGGGTCAAAATGGACTATTTCATTGTTGGGACAGGACCTACACGTAGATCTTCATTAAATAAACATCCGACAAAAACTATCGTTACGGTCCCAAGCTAAATCATAAGTCAAATCGCCATACTTGTATATTTTGTCTCAGCTCACGTTCAGATCCGAAAAGTAACTTTATGTCCAGGTTCGCTTTGAAGCTAAAATTCTTCTTCAAAACTACTGAAAATATCCATCCCATATCTCCAAAACATGTTGTGCATTTCTCTGACACAAACTTTGAATTTTATTTTTTTTATTTTGAACAATTCAAACTTGAAGCCTTCACACAAGCTGGTTCTCATATTTTATTTCTCAATATTAATATTAATATTTCTTATATTAACTTATGACTAGACAGACAGATAAAGAAAATACATGTGTCTGGTGTGGTTTCGACGTGTTTTGTTAAAAGCAGGTTTCAAACATACATTTGTCGGTAATTTGCAAAGCCATTTAGGATATAGGTTTATTTACTGATTATAGGAATGTGATTGAAGTCCCGTCATATACTTGTTGTCTCCGTGTCACATATACCGTGAAAGGGGATTTTATTTTAATGATGGAATATATACAAAATAGGGCCCTTTCTAAACAGTTTCAGAATGAAGCTTGAACAGAATAAGGTCCTATCATTACAGTTATATAACAGAATATTTACAATCTGTATATATAGAGGTTACCATACTTGTGTGTTTTGTGATGGTTAATATCATTGTGTTAGCGAGCCTAGACGTAGGTGATGAAACGGTTCAACAGAAGCTGAAGCACTACAAAGACAACTACACCTGGAACATGGGCGTCATGGACGGATAGAGGCATACATCATCACCTACAACGCCAGTTATGCTGTAAACGAGAGCCACAAACTACGTCGTAGAATCTACTTACTCGTGGTTCTTATTTTGCACATGACACATGTATGTACATAAGTACAACTGTAAGCCGAAAAGCACTGGTGCATATTGACAATTGCTGGGGAACTGGTAACCTATGGTGTGTGCGGGAAGGTCGGGGGTTTTGATGGTCACAGAACTGTATCATACGCCCCCCCCCCCCCCCCCCCCCCCCCACACACACACACACACACACACACACACACACACACAGACACACAAATAAAAAATAAATAAAAAAGATTTTTTTCATTCCATTCCGAAAACACCTCCCTCCCCACCCCAGCCCCACCCGCACCCCTTTGTGGTGGGATGAAGTAGTAGATAAGCATTAAACAAATATGTTTACCTAACCCAACAACGTGATATTGGTGGTTACACAACCGTCGGTTACACACTACTGAATCTGTTATGTATGCCTGTCACGTTTCCCGACACGAGGAAAACCACAACCTGAACGGTGGTGAGAATTATGCAAGGGAGACAACTGCAGAGTGTATGTATCGGAAACTGGGTACATTCATGGTATGAGTATGGCGATGAGTTTGCTAACGGAATCTGACTGCACCTAGTGACAGCCGACATTCCCCCAGGGTCTGTGTGTATGCAGCCAACACAGACACAACCTATTATAACGCGGACATTTCCCTGTGTCCGGGGGGATGGATAGAAGAGCAAATGGGGACGCTAGATAAACAATTGGTAACGGGAAACGGCACCAGTTGAATTCACACCCATGACAAGTTTGAGGTATAGGCGTGTATTAAAATGAGTTTGTTGACCAACAGGAAACTAATGTTGAAGTGAAAATTGATTGTATGGCAAGTGATAATTGTTTGTTGTTTAACGCCGCACTTAGCAATATTCCAGCCATATGATGGGGTATGTAAATAAGCCAGCCTGGGCCAGACAATCCAGTGATTGACATCAAAAGTTTCGGTCTACGCAGTTGGGATGCGATGACATGCATCGACAAAGTGACCGAGCTTGACCACCCGATCCCGTTAGTCGTATTAACTCAATTAATTGTTTATTTTTTTAGATAGTTTAAAAAAAGGTGCTCTGCTGCTGTTTGCAAAAAAGAAAGACGAATTCCATTATGACTTTAGGCCAAGTGTTACTAAAGGCATTCCTATCTATTATTATGGCACGATAAGTATCTTAACGCAATTCCCTCTTGGCTCCGACTAGTCAACACCAGGCTACCCATCTATCGGTGAGATTGTGCCCCTTAAAAAGGCAACCCACCATATTATCATATGTTGATAATTATACGTTATTATGTGAATCTAAAGACTAAGTGGTTGCTGTCGCGTGTCTACGAGAAGATGCGGTGAGGTGCAACGTGCATGTGTGTTGGTGTGTGCGTGTATCTGTATCATGTACAAAAATGATTGTCTGGTCTGACGATATACCTTGCATTATTATTATTATCTTTATCTACACAAGTTATATATAGAGGATTCATCACGAGTGTTTTTTAATATGGGAAATATCAACCGAGTCTTAGTTAATCGGTATTTGCCGAGCCTTTGGCGAGGCAAATACCGATTAACGGGACGAGGTTGATATTTCCCATATTAAAAAACACGAGTGATGAATTCTATTTATCATTTTCACATTTTTGCTTCCAAATCAAGGAATAATTGCATTAAACATTAACATCAGCAACTTGTCGAAATCTTACGTATAGATCGTGCGTAGTGATACATGTTTTCCATAGCCATGTGACCAAAGTAAACAATTCGCTGAGAAAAAAAGTTCCTCGGATTATTTTAAACAAAATACTTGAACAGACTTTTGCAGAATAATTGAAACTTTAATAACGGTAACAACAACGATTCTGTGTAATCTGATTATATCTCTGGTGTAACTTCACTTATAATATATAGTTTCAAATCAAACCGCTCCCTCTTCCGGTTATCTAATTTGCATATCTAATTTGCATACTTATGTCATTGGGGTATGACATACATGTTTTTATGTCATAAGCTTATGTCATGGATAAATGCTTAAGTTAAATGATAAATATATATACGAATTGTCTAATGACACTGTCTCTTCTGTAATCTAATAAAGCATGGAACCAGCATCCTTCTGTTACATCCTATTGGTCCTCTTCTCTCGTCGGCATCAATCATATGTGCGTTTATTACACACTGACATGATCGTATCATACGGAAACTCTATACACGACACTTAAGCATTATTCATCTGTTTTATTTTCTTTATATCTGTGGTTACAGTGTCGGGACTGTGTAACTATCACATGGCACTTTGAATATACTCAACATTACACACATAGAGTGACAAAAGTTTATATCAACACGTTTCTCTACTGTAAACTGTTCAAAAGGCTGGGACCAGCATCGCCCTGTTACAGTCTAGTACTCGTACTCTGCTTCTCTGTGATGGTCGGAAGTTCAACTTTGTCTCTGTTCGAGTCCCGACAATGTCGCCAAAACATGAGAACTATCTTGGTGATGAAGCATAATATCGACACGCCCAGTAAAACCGCTGTGAAAATAGAGTTTGTCTTCTCTGGATTCCAGTTCTTGACCATACTTCCAGAAAGTGCAACCATGACAACGATATAGGGACTAAAAGTATAGCGTGAGTATTTGTCCATAATTGTCCAATCAGAGATAGCGAAGACTGTTAGCTCAACGGACAGGATGCTAAGAGCGATGGTGGATGAGGTACTCTGGTCAAACTGGGGTTTGGCGGTGTAAGTCAGAGCCATAGCAAGGTTGAGGAGAGTGGCAATAGTGCACCATGCGCCATAGAAGGCAAGGCCATTCTGCACCAACATGCGCATCAACCAGATGTCCACCTTACGTCCTTGTTTCACTAGAGCGTCGTGGTGCTGCGCCAGTGCCTTGTAAGAGAGTCCTATGCAGATGTAGATGGTGATGAAGACGATGGCCAGGAAAACAAAGGCGATCCAGACGTGACCCCATCCCCACACGAAGGTCCAGGTGATGACGCACATCCAGTTGAAGATGGAGACACCGAAGAAGGTCGCACTGAGGAGGGTGGGGCTGTTGTAGACGTAGCCGTCAGGGGTACGGCGGCAGATGTTGACGAGGGCGTAGATGGCCCAGATAGCCTGCCATATGTAGATGGCGCCCCAGATGCTGAATGTGGCTGAAGAGGGCGTGATCTCGAGGTACCGTTGATCGGAGGCATCTTCCATTGATTGGCCGAAAATATCTGAAAGTTACAGGCAATCAGTTATGACGTGCATCTATGTCCTTCCACAAAGAAGACGAGCTCTATTCGAATTATGCATTGTTCGACATAATTTACAAACAAGTTCTCCATGTCTTGGTTCTGTAGATTGCAACGGAAGTCTTAACAGAATGAAGCAAGAGGTTTATGGCTGGATATTTTCTTATATAAAGTATGAATGTCTCCAGAATAGATACTCCAGTAGACGCAATCGGTTTGAGGGGCGGCATCGATTATATTTATACTACTCAAACGAAGCTAAGGACCACCCAAGTCTTATATATTACTATAGTCAATCTATCATACTAGGACAGATTAGCTATAGTGATATGAAAACATCGGATGGGTCTTAACTATTTGTGAGAAGTAAACCTTATAGTCGTGTTGCCATCTGACCAAGGGCATGTTTACATGGTTAGTTACAACCCTAAATGTGTCATGTCAATTATAGCTACACTGATGACATTTTACGAACATATTATCTTGCTAATTGTCCAATACAATTTTTTTACTCATGTGGTACTTACTTATATCAATGCCCAGCCATTCTCTTACTCCGGCCATGTTCAGTGCACCAAATAGCTGATTGATGATGAAGAACACCAAGTTGCCGATGGCGAGGGCGATGAGCAGAGGAGAGTGGAACGCCATCTTGGGTCAGCTATTCTGTAGAAAGCCAGTCAATGTTAACTGTTACAGAAATATAACAACGTAACGATACAACGGCTGTATTGTTGTATGCACCAGCCAAACGTTAGGGCTGAATCAGTTGATGTATGTACCAGTCAAGCGTTAGGACAGAACCAGTTGATGTATGTACAAGTCAAGCGTTAAGAGTGGACCAGTTGATGTATGCACCAGCCAAACGTTAGGACTGAATCAGTTGATGTATGTACCAGTCAAGCGTTAGGACAGAACCAGTTGATGTATGTACAAGTCAAGCGTTAAGAGTGGACCAGTTGATGTATGTACCAGCCAAGCGTTAGGACTGAACCAGTTGATGTATGTACCAGCCAAGCGTTAAGAGTGGACCAGTTGATGTATGTACCAGCCAAGCGTTAGGACTGAACCAGTTGATGTATGTACCAGTCAAGCGTTAAGAGTGGACATGTTGATGTATGCACCAGCCAAACGTTAAGGGTGGACAAATTGATGTATGCACCAGCTTAGCGTTAGGACTGAACCAGTTGATGTATGAACCAGTCAAGCATTAAGAGTGGACCAGTTGATGTATGTACCAACCAAGCGTTAGGACTGAATCAGTTGATGTATGTACCAGTCAAGCGTTAAGAGTGGACAAGTTGATGTATGCATCAGCCAAACGTTAAGAGTGGACCAGTTGATGTATGTACCAGCCAAGCGTTAGGACTGAATCAGTTGATGTATGTACCAGTCAAGCGTTAGGACAGAACCAGTTGATGTATGTACAAGTCAAGCGTTAAGAGTGCACCAGTTGATGTATGTACCAGCCAAGCGTTAGGACTGAATCAGTTGATGTATGTACCAGTCAAGCGTTAAGAGTGGACAAGTTGATGTATGCATCAGCCAAACGTTAAGAGTGGACCAGTTGATGTATGTACCAGCCAAGCGTTAGGACTGAACCAGTTGATGTATGCACCAGCCAAGCGTTAAGAGGGGACCAGTTGATGTATGTACCAGCCAAGCGTTAAGAGTGGACCAGTTGATGTATGTACCAGCTTAGCGTAAGGACCGGACTTGTTGATGTGTCAAGCGTGTGGCTTTTGCTTATTACATAGTTTTGAAACAACTCGTAAGACACATGGCATCTGACAGACACTCGTGTATTCTTCTCTATGTTTCAATGGGCCAAAAATAGCGTTCAGATCCATTGGATATGGCATTGGGAGCGCATGACATCTTGACTGAAGGATTAATCCTGGATTACTACTGTAGAGGATACACCTGACTGCACAGATGTGATGCTGGACACACGTGACTGCACACACAAGAAGCGTGATACGTGTGTCCCGTAATCAGGTATACGGACGAAATTCCCACTCTTTGTCCAGTTACATTCTGGCAATACAGTACTAAGTTTACAATAAACACAATTAAATGTAAAACATTCTTTCAGAAGAAACACTTTGACATCAACATATCGGGAGGGAAAGAACGAGATACACTATCACTTTAACTTTTCACTCATACACTTTGGCCTAACATCATACTGATCTTACCTCACGGGTCCCAGTGTGGACTTCTCTCGACCAACTCGGGAGACAACTGAAGCTCGTTTCCGGCGGTTTCCGACTTCTATACCTGCTGGCGACATAAGCGACAACTCGTTTGTATCTAACACTCGCCACATGGTGAAACACGTGACACAAAAATAGAATTACATGTGTCGTCAAAACACACTCTACCAGTCATGGGCGGACGGAGGGCAACGCTGGTCCTTGTAGATGCGTGCCAAGTGACCCAACATAATAGCCAGAGGGAACGGCGCTCCAATGCAAAAGCATTTATAAGTCTTCCACCTTCCCAGAAGTCACTGAAGCCAAACAACGCGTACTTGTGTGTTTATATTTTATGTTAATAAATTCTATGACTGTATACATTGACATTGTGAATTTTGATACAACAAATTGTATAAAAGTGCTGAAAAGGACATACATTGCAGGAGTACCTACAAATCTTTGTGTGTGTGCATATAAATATGGGGATTGCATGAAAGTCGGGCCGGGCCAGCGGGTAATACTAAAAATGGATTGCAGAATAATGAAACGAAACGTACATATCTCGGCAGATCTCAAATGTCCACAAACTTATATTTTTTTCTCTCGTTTAATTGAGTTTGAATCAAAATACATCTTCAACAATGTAATAAATTGATAATTATGACTACATTCCGTGAGTCCTCGTAGAAAGGTCAGTGTCTTGACAGTGTGTTTTCTTTGATGAGAAGGTTTCTCACCGACCTTAGCGTGTAGGGGTGTGATGTCCTGGGGAGGAAATGACAGTGTTTTGACTACTCTTCTTTAATTAATTAACGTGTTGGGCATCCCTAATTAACCTTTACTAATTCATGTTAAACCAACACAGGATGTTTTCTGGAAGTTGATATTCTTCGAATGTGATAGGGCTGACACGACACGTGTTAATAACTGTCCTAGCACTTCAAAAGTTACTAAACATTCTTTACACCTAGAGACTAGTATTATATCTAATTATATATCACTTTAGTGTCTCGTATTGCAGTAGTTAAAGAAAACACGGTGCTCAAAGGGAAGCCCTTTTCCCTCTACATTCTCAACATTCTATATTAGAAGTGATTGGTCTGTGTTCGGTCCGACTTGGCCCGGGCTGTCAAAATCAACTTTAAACTCACAGATGTATGATCAAATGTGTTTACATCTATGGACTAGTAATATATCTACCTACATATCACTTTATAATGTCACAGAACACCGCATTTAAAGGAAACGGACCCGTTAAAGTCAAGCACTTTTACTGTATTTTCTCATGAAAATCTGTCACATGTGTTTGCCCCGACTCGGCCCGGGCTGTCAAAATCAACTTAAACCTCATATATGTTTCATGCCATAGATTAGTATTATATCTACCCATACACCACTTCATAGTGTCTCATATATCTAAAGAAAACAAGGTGCTCAAAATGAAGCCCTTTTCATTCCACATTCTCAACATCCTCAAAATAGTCTATCAGAAGTGTTTGGGTTGTGTTCGTTCCGACTTGGCCTGGGCTGTCAAAATCAACTTTAAACATACAGATGTATCATCAAATGTGTTCACATCTATAGATTAGCATTATATCTACCTATATACTACTTTACAATGTCACAGTACATCGCATTTAAAGAAAACTGGTCCGTAAAAGTCAAGCACTTTTACTGTATTTTCTTACGAAAATCTCTGTCAGAATTGTTCGGTCCGACTTGGCCCGGGCTATCAAAATCAACCTATATACCTACCTACCTACATATACCTCTTTATAGTGTCTAAGATCGCGGTATTTAAAGAAAACAAGGTGAAGCCCTTTTCCTTCTACATTCTCAACATAGTCTCTATAAGAAGTGTTCGCTCCGACTTGGCCTGGGCTGTCAAAACCACCTTAAACATTACAGATGTAACATCAACTGTGTTTACATCTATAGACTAGTATTATATGTTGTTGTTGCATTAAGTGTTTAAGAGGTCGCCTTCTGCCTAAGCAATTTCGGCTGACCTGTCCCTCTTTGGGACTCCTGTGTGTGAGTAGGTTACACCTATCTATTGTGAGTTTGGTGTTCACATAATTTCTGTTTTTGTATTGATATGATTTCTATTTTCTTATATTGATATGATTTCATTTTTATCCTTGGCTGCTCTATTTATATACGTTCGAGTAGCTGTCAATATCTCAGAAATAGAGTTAGTTTGGCCTTCGCTATTGCATCTCTTGGCTTTAGGAGATCTATGACAGATAGCGGATCTAACTGCAATTCTTGTTTTAACCTAGCCCAGGCTGGGGCATGGTCTTGACATTCTAGTAACACGTGATCAATGGTTTCAGCCTGATCGCAAGATGAGCAAACCTTGTCATAGTGCTTTTTGTGACCGAGTCTGAGGCGTGAGGTGTCAATTTCAATTTTCCTTTCATTTGAGTATGAGTTTGGCTTTTGTTGGACCTTGGGTTGAATTTTGTATAGCCATCTACCGATCTTACTTGCGTCCCATTGGGCTTGCCATCGTTCTGCTATGGAGGTTTTGCTTTTGCTTTTTATCTCTATAGGCTGTATATCCGCTTTGTCTAGAGCTAGCTTGGCCAGTGAGTCTGCTTTTTCATTTCCATGAATATCTATGTGAGGGGGGATCCAACACAGCTCAATCTGTTGCCATTGGTCCGATAGTTTTGTATATTCGTATAGAATATTGTTGACTGTGTTTGGCCTGGAGTTTGAGTTTCTGCAACTGATGGCTTGAAGTGCACTTAGCGAGTCTGATAGGACGACTGCCTTTGCTTCCGGAAGTTCCGGTATGAGTTTGAGTGCATGATGAATTGCCTCCAATTCAGCCGTGAATACTGACTGACCATCAGGCAAGCGAACTGAATGTGCTTTGGGTTTGGAGCTGTGGATATGGATCCCGTAACCAGCACTGTTGTTGATAGGATTCTTGGATCCATCAGTGTATATATGGGCCCAGTTGTCCCAGGTAGTTTGAATTTTAGTGATAGCTACTGATCGTAGTAGGGTTGGGTTTTCTTTTTTAGTGACTTCTGATGTTAAAGCTGTGTCAACTTTGGGAGTTTTGAAAGTCCAAGGAGGGTGTAACCCTATGTAGTGACTTTCTGGAGGCTGAATGTCATCACAATTGTGACTTCGAATGAGTTCACGTACTAATATCCCAGATGGCTTTAGTGAGTGATGTTTTCGAGCTAGGGCTTCATCTCGAGTGTTTTTGTCTTGCCATATCTTTTTAACCAAAGGGTTTGATGTTCGTCCCCAGAACGATAATATTGCCTGCTCTCTTCTTTGTATTATATCTACCTAAATACCACTTTATAAAGTCTCAGATTGCGGTATTTAAAGAAAACAAGGAGTTCAAAGTGAAGCATCTGTGTGTAATCGGTTTAATTGTACGGTATACATTGTAGACAGACAGACAATAATTTATTAGTGTCTCACTTCTGTACATACATAAAACAGCTTTGTACAAATAAACATTGATACAATGTACAGAACCATTCAATAGAATTATGAGAGATTATAAACAGAATATCCCTCTGCTAAGTATATGATAAATTGTTGAATTAACATTAGATAAGGTTGGGAATTAATTGTGTTTTTTCAATACATCTTAGACTGGTGAGACTAGAGTTCGATGATGACCAGCCTGCACATATTGTAACATTTTTTTACCCTGTTCCCCAGTGATGGAAAGTGTGTCTACCCCAGCTGGAGCCATCTGGTAACAATTGATCACAATCTGTCAATATACAATACAGTATAATACATCAAGATGGCAGTTTCCATGTAACGATTAAGTATTTCTAAGCAACTTAAAGATATGTACAATATCTTTATATATGTATCTTTAAGTTTCTTAGAAATACTTAAACGTTATATGGAAACTGCCATCTTGATGTATTATTCTGTTTTGTATATTGATAGCTGGTGACGTGCAGAGCCGTGATTGCTGCCAAGGGCGGTCACACGAGATACTGAGTTCAGCGCACCCTCGTGGCCTTATGTGACATGACAATGGACAGTTCAATGCCTTTGCACAACGACATGTGACTGTCGGACTACAAAATTTCATATTTGTATCTATGATATTAAATTAAATATATCGACAAAAATTTACTATAAATCTACCTGTGCGTATCCTTTTTCGAAGAGTGTATATCTCCTTTCGCTAAAGTTGACTGGTCTTTTTTTTGTTAGAACAAACAATTGCGCATTGAGCGATTATCTCCTTTAGCTATATGCGTAGAATAGAGCTTTATCACGCGTGACCTTGCAATGCTGTACATCGTATCTTATTCAAGCTGTATCACTAAACGTGGGTGATTATCTGCCTTGCCCAAATAGCTCTATTGCGCACTACCTTTGCAATGTAACTTATGTTATTCCGGCAGCCAGCGAGAATGGTTCCAGGGAGGAATTCAGGTCAAGCATGTAACGCGCACTCAATCTTTCTCCCTTCACACTGCTATTGCAACTTATTGTTCAACACGATTAAATACCAGGCTTCTATGAAGCATGACTTTGTTCAATAAACAACACATGTAAAACAACGGGTTCGATATCATCGAAATTTGTAATTATGTGCAGATTTGAGCACAATTTCAAGTAGTTCATTGTATGTAAAGTATGATTCATACCGTTTCATACGGCGGTTTATTGTTCTGCATAGTTTATTGTATTGACAGTTGTTTTAACTTCCTGCAGAGATTATACACCTGTATAAGTTCTTTGCTTCTGGATACATTTGAAATCAACATGTTGGCCTGTAGTTTGCAATTATGTTCCTGAAAAATAATTTGGTTGCATGATATATTCACGATGTTTGGCTTAAACATAGTTACATTCTTCTAAACATACTTCAAATATAAACCGGAAGTAATCACAATACAAACCCAGCTAACCAAACGTACACAAGAGTAGTGAGTGAGTGAGATGGGTTTAACGCCGCTTTGAATAGTATAATTCCAGTTATATTACGCCGTGTCAGCTTGATGTGGGAGGAAAGCCCGAAGTGATGCAGGTCTTAGACGTTCACCACTTTGGTGAAACCCACGAGCACGGGTATAGTGCTGACAACATAAACGGGGAGAACCGGGATTCTGGCGTGCCCAAGGGACACAACTCTGCATAGCGAATTGCAGCGCATAAGGCGACTGGGCCATCCGCGCCCCCGTAAACAACTGTAACAAACTATGTATTGCGTAACATTCCATGAAGAAACAGTTGCAATATTATACTATCACAAACTACAAAATATATGCCCAATAAGTGCAAAACACACTAGTACATTCAACATAAAAAGAAGGCACATTATAACAAGTTTATTTTAAAACACGTGTATTATAAAGATATGGAAACAATATGAGAATTGAGCCAAACACTTTTGATAGAGTCTATGTTCAGAATGTAGAGGGAAAAGGGCTTCATTTTGAGCACATTATTTTCTTTAAATACAGCGATCTGTGACATTATAAAATAATATAAAGGTAGATATAACACTGATCTATAGATGTAAACACATTTGATGATACATCTGTGTGTTTAAAGTTGATTTTGACAGCCCGGGCCAAGTCGGAGCGAGCACAAGCCAAACATTTCTGATAGAGACTACGTTGAGAATGGAGAGGGAAAAGGGCTTCACTTTGAGCACCTCGTTTTCTTGAAATACCGCGATCTGAGACACTATAAAGAGGTATTTAGGTAGATATAATACTAATCTATAGGTGTGAATCCATTTCATGTTACATCTGTGAGGTTTAAGTTGATTTTGACAGCCCGGGCCAAGTCGGACCGAACACTTGTGAAACTGTTGAGAGTATGGGGAGAAGAGGTCTACTTTAACCAACGTGTCTGCTTTAAATACGATGAACAGTGACATAAAGTGGTATTTACTTAGATATAGTACGTTCCTATAAGTATAAACGCTATGCAGACAGATTGAAATTTGTATCACGATAGCTAGAAGTATATTTAATACGTTTCAAATCTTATTTCGTTTAACGATTGCTCTTTTCTATGTTACCTAGATCAGCGACGCTTACACACTGCTCCGCTTTCTGGTTTTCAAGTGATTTACTCCGAAATACTCAATTATGGTGCACGTTTTTGGTTGGTGATTGTTCAATAATGTCATGTGTATATGTTGCATCAACAATATGTAGGTGTGATCGCCGATAATGAAGTAATTAGCCAATAACACTTTGGTCCGTCTTGGCCCGGCCCGGCCCGACTTTTAGGCAATGCCATAAATATGACATAGAACGAAGTTGTCTGTCCTTTGACGCTAGTCCTGCAATGCAATTTCTCCTTAAACACTGTTATTCATATAAAAATGCACAATGTCATAGTCTTAGAAATTCGATTTTATGAAAAAGAAAGCAACCAAAATCTTTCCCTTTGTTTCTATCCACATCTAGTTGTTGATCCTGCGCTATGATTGAGATGAGGCACTTCTGGGTACAACTGATTAAGGGTAGCCGCCGACGAAGGTCTTACAGTGTGTATGAAGCTGAATGGCGGCTAAAGGGCAATATCATCTTGCTATGCAATGTTACACGACTGCTCCGGGTGATGTGAGGTAATGTCTCACATCCTCGCCAAGGGCTACAACCAGTACACCAGGGTATGAAACTCCCAAAAATTTCAGCCAGACCACAGGACTGGCTAGCTGAAATACTTGCCAGCCCTGACCAAAACCTGCCTGCCCACTATAATCATATGTTTCTCAGGATAAGCTAACGGGGTTTCTTTTTGGTTACATTTTATCATTCATCTTCACATGTGGATTAATGCTTATCATCGGGAAATATTTAGAATATTGTCACATATGAAATATAACCCGACCGTCGGGCAGGGGGATTTGAAAATCTGGCAGCCCGAGTTGAAATCAACCCGTCTCGGACGCTCGGGCAGGCAGGTATTTCGAACACTGAGTACTGCAAGGATTTCAAGTGTTTGTGTGTATTTAACGACGGAATATCCTAGCTGTATGATGGCGGTGTGTAAATAACCGAGTCTTGACCAGTCAATCAAGTTGGGATGCAATGACATGGATGCACCAAGTCAGCGAGTCTGACCACCCTATCCCGTTTGACGCCTCTTACAAGTATGAGTTGCTGAAGTCCAATTCTAATCCGGATCTTCACGGGGACATGTGGAAGTCAGGAGATAGTCATTAACTTAAAGTAAACTAAAGGGCAAAGAAAGTATACCGAGTTAGTTTATTACATATTTGAAACTTGAAAGAACTGATGTTAAATTTGACTATGTCTGTTTTACCATCACTTATTCCTGCAACAATTTGTAAAAAGTAATCTTGCTGAGTAATTTTGTGTAAACACAAAATGGTTCCATGACGACTAGGGTAAGAAATGAATTTGCAGCCACATGACCCCCTACCATGTTTGAAATGTACATTTGTGCCCCCAAAAGCTATGTTTTATATTTTCAAAGATAAAATGTCTAACACACTCATCACCAGTTGCGTATAATGCGAAATTTCTTTTTTAAATTTTAATATTTAAAAAAAACAACAATGTAGACGTATTCTATGGGTGCTGACTATGTGCCGGTACAGTTCATTTGTAATATAGTATAGTTAACTTAACATATTTTCAATTGAAAAACAAACATATCATAATATCAACTGAGAGGTACAGTTTCGTTTATTCCTCAGTGTATTTAGAATATTAATTTGGCATTGTTATTATGTGTGATGTGACAAAGAGAGTAACACTGTATCCCGTGTTCAACTGAGGAACCCTCATCGTGCTGTTGTACTGGGTTGTTTATGTGATAACCAATGCTTACATGTACGGACAGTGAGTAATAATACGTCTACTGTTCAGATGTTGAGTGGACATTCCGACTTAAGATTTACATATTTAAAACATCACACGTTTGGCCCATTATAACATGATGCACATGTCACGCCAGGTCGTCTCACATGAACAGACTATTTAATGCACTATAAACAAAACGCCTGCTGTCTTGTGAGACAGACACATTGCATTGTACATTAACTGCCAGCCACCCTGAACGAGCTATGCAACTATGTCACTTCTCATTATTAGTTTTATTTATATTAATGACTAAATCGGTTTCAGATGACCTTGGATATATACGCCAATGTTCAGAGACGAAGAATAGGAAGGCCCCACCCTTAGACGTGCCAGGGTTAGTCTAGGTGCTTCAGGGCACCGACACAACAACCTCTACCACGTTGTGCAGACCTGGCACATAGGGCCTCTTGTAAATATGTACCGACATGTGTAACGCAAACGTGTATACACTGCAAGCTATTGCTTCAATGTTGTCACTTTCGAAACCCGTACACCAGAGGAACATGCAAATAATCATTATCGACGTTATCAATGTCTCCAACGCACTTGCATCGGGCGTTGTCAAGAAAATCGTGTCGGTGTACCCGTGTTGGCCATGTTCGTCTTTCCACGTCGGTACAGTGCAATACTTGAGCTGTCGTATAACAGGTTCTTTGACATAAATTTGACATGTTGTCCCTATATCACACACAGACGTGGTCGCCCAATACGGAAAACGAAACAAAAGCATTATTCATCTATTTTATTTATGTTTTTTTACAAAAGTAAAATATAAATATATTGTAAAAAGTAAAGAGTTACCCTATAACCGAGTGAGAGACGTGAGTAGGTTCTCACATTGTTTGGGATCACTGTGACACTGTGCATTCTAAACGTTCAACACACAGGGTGACAAAAGTTTATATCAACACTTGTCTAATGTAAACTGTTCAAAAGGCTGGGACCAGCATCCTCCTGTTACAGTCTAATATTCTGTTTCTCTGTGATGGTCGGAAGTACAACTTTGTCTCTGTTCGAGTCCCGACAATGTCGCCAAAACATGAGAACCATCTTGGTGATGAAGCATAAGATCGACACGCCCAGTAAAACCGCTGTGAAAATAGAGTTTGTCTTCTCTGGATTCCAGTTCTTGACCATACTTCCAGAAAGTGCAACCATGACAACAATATAGGGACTAAATGTATAGCGTGAGTATTTGTCCATAATTGTCCAATCGGAGATAGCGAAGACTGTTAGCTCAACGGACAGGATGCTAAGAGCGATGGTGGATGAGGTACTCTGGTCAAACTGGGGGTGGGAGGTGTAAGTAAGAGCCATAGCAAGGTTGAGGAGAGTGGCAATAGTGCACCATGCGCCATAGAAGGCAAGGCCATTCTGCACCAACATGCGCATCAACCAGATGTCCACCTTACGTCCTTGTTTCACTAGCGCGTCGTGGTGCTGCGCCAGTGCCTTGTAAGAGAGTCCTATGCAGATGTAGATGGTGATGAAGACGATGGCCAGGAAAACAAAGGCGACCCAGACGTGACCCCATCCCCACACGAAGGTCCAGGTGATGACGCACATCCAGTTGAAGATGGAGACACCGAAGAAGGTCGCACTGAGGAGGGTGGGGCTGTTGTAGACGTAGCCGTCAGGGGTACGGCGGCAGATGTTGACAAGGGCGTAGATGGCCCAGACAGCCTGCCATATGTAGATGGCGCCCCAGATGCTGAATGTGGCTGAAGAGGGCGTGATCTCGAGGTACCGTTGATCGGAGGCATCGCCCACTGATTGGCCGAAAATATCTGAAAGTAGTAACGTAGTTAACATCACATTTAACACATATGGAGTTCAAAATGCACATAGAGGTAAAATTAATGTAAAGCAGATGACGAAGACTCGCACTAGAAGCTGAAAAATATGTTTGGTTTCATTCGTGACCAACTCGTGTTATTCCGGGACAAGCCGAATAGCGACTCGTGCCCTTCTCATGGCCATTTTTGCCACCGAATTCCGTCTTAGCGCAAACGGGCATACCTAAAATAATTGTCAACTCATTACGTAATGGTTCACACATTTTCCCCATATATTATATATATTTCAGATGCAATTTAAAGCACATCGGGACGTGCGGAATTATACAGTATGATTGAACACATTTAACTGTGTCTTTGGTTTATTTTTAGATGCAAGACATATGTAAAATCAGAAATTATTTCTGAGGGATTCTTTGACGAAGAACTTGAAATCATACGTGCATTCTGATTGGTTTGTCGTATTTTCGCACATAATTATAACATTCATCAATAGGGGGAAGAGTCTTCTTGCAGGTTACGGAAAGGGCCGAGTGCTGACGAATGGTTTGGTTTGTGCACCCCTCGTACGCCGGTGTCACGAAATATATTCGCCCCCAGAATAAAATCCCCCCCCCCCGGAGAATTTATACCGGTACAGTTCCGCCCCTCTCGAAATAAACTCTCCCCCTCCCTACGAAATAAAATCACCCCCAGAATATTTCCTCCCCCGATCGTTTTATAAACGGGGTGATACGGGGACGTCGTGGCTTGGTCAGTAGCTAAAAGGTCACAGAGTTCCTTCACAAGAAAATTGCAAAATTCCCTTCCCACGTATTGTCAAGTTTTAACAAACACCACGCCCATTTGGTAGATATGATTTATCTCAAAATACGTGACACTATATTTCATTCTTCAAGATATATGTATAATGTAATATTATCCAAAACCATGATGCATGTGCAATGTAATATAATTGTACAATACACATGCATGTAATATGGGTCATATGTCCTTGAAAGCCCAAAACTGAAGTGAACTGAAGTGAACTGATCGCAACTGAGTGTATTTAATATAACTCTTAGATACAATTCACGTCGCTGACCCATAGCAAAGCCATTTTCTTGGCGCATATTGATGCATTTATTGTAATCTTAGGGTACTTACTTGTATCAATACCCAGCCATTCTCTTACTCCGGCCATGTTCAGTGCACCAAATAGCTGATTGATGATGAAGAACACCAAGTTGCCGATGGCGAGGGCGATGAGCAGAGGAGAGTGGAACGCCATCGTGAGCCTGGGAACTATTAGCTCGACAATATTATCTGCAACAGAAATGTCACATGCCACATAGGTTTACTATTAAGCGAATTAACATCATATGAAGAATGGCTGCGCAAATAGTTTACTTGAATGGTCGAGAGAGAGAGAGAGAGAGAGAGAGAGAGAGAGAGAGAGGCGTCGGTTGTTTGATAATCTATAATTCTACACGAATGTGGGATAAGTCTTACCGTATTTAGGAGGAACCTCTCGCGGCTGCGTCCGGAGACAACTGAATCCTTTCGGCAGTTTCCGACTCATATACCTGCTGGTTATACAAGCAACAACGCCTTGTTATCAAACACTCGCCACATGGTGAAACACGTGACACAAAAATAGAACTACCCGTGTAAGCCAAACACATCCCATCGGGGCTGGTCGTTGTACAAAGGGAGATAACTGCTGTATGCTCAGCAGCACACACACAAGCCCGAGGGAAAGCTTCCCGTGTCAATGATGTGAAGGCGGAGGACTTGCCACGCTCCATTGATCAGCTATTCACTGCGTAGTAGCCACTGGGGGAAATGCCACCGGTCAAACCGGGTCCACTGGTAGTGCCTGGGGTAATCTCATTTCAGTTAACACAGAAAGACACGAGGACACATTCACACATTTTATTGACAACATACACGACGCAAATACAGTCCAGCGTTTCCTTGTCAAAACACATGATTATCATCGGCATTATTGTTTAACACTTGGCAAGGGATATATACACAAACATAATATGTTAAACACATCGGAAAATGATCTAAATAATTCCCAAATATTGACAAACTATGCTCTTACGTTCAAGTGGACTTACAAGAGACGCTATAAGCAACAGTAGACACAATCGAGAACAATAGACACACATCAACAACATACACTACGTATATCCAGGGAGTTTATATAGTCTTTGTGTTGTCTGCTTTGTATATCCATTATGGATTCTATTTCCCAAATTTGTACAAAGTGTGAAGCCCATTTCTGGTGTCCCCCACCGTGATATTGCTGGAATATTGCCAGTAGTGTAAAACCATACTCACTCACTCACTCAATTAGCGAGTGGCTGCAGCATGTCCGTGGCTGTGTAACAGCAAAGGAACACGTTAACACGCTAGCACAGTTCCTGACGCCGCGCTGTTGGTGTAAAATTAGCGTCCATTGTGTGACACAGCGGGGTGTTGCGGATAACACAGGCAGTGTGCGTGGAAATGTAAGCAAACGGTTAAGGCCAAGACCGCGATCGGAAGAAATATATTTTGATGTAATAAGTACGTAAATACACAAAGGAAAACTGCTGTTTTTCGGAACTGAAAATAAACTAACTTTACATGGAAGTGTGATTGAAATAATTATGCCTCAATTAAAGCACCGTCTTGAAACATTAACTGACTAGCATTTTTTAAACTGGCGTCATAAATGACTGGTGAGGAAAGAGTAGTCAGAGCTACTGACAATTCTGCCACCCGGTCACAGGTGTGTTTATCTGCTTCACCGTGTACAGGGGGCACGGGTGACCCAGTCGTCTAAGGTGCCGCGATTCGCTGTGCAGAGTTGCGTCCCTTGGGCGCGCCAGAAACCTATGATTGTGGGTTCGAATCCCGGTTCGCTCCGATTATGTTTCTAGGTTTGTCAGCACCATACCCGTGCTGGTGGGTTTCACCGAAGTGGTAAACGTCTGTGACCTGCATCACTTCGGGCTTTCCTCCCACATTAAGCTGACACGCCGTTATATAACTGGAATATTGTTAAAAGCGGCGTTAAACCCAACTCACTCACTCACCGTGTACAGGTACACAGTGCAACGAGCATGTGGATTTCAAAGTACAAATGTTCTTTGGAAGTTACTGCCGTGCATCAGTTCCAGTGTTGTGTTGGACTTATTTGTGTTCATACGTAACAAATCACACTCTTGCAGCAATGCACCATAAACAATCCACAGAAAATCATGTTAGCTATGGAAGGGGGGTATATAAATATATTTCAGTCATTTTTTCGGAGGGTCATCAACGTCCTAGACAGCCGCCCTGTGATAAATAACAGTGTTTCTGTGGTCGTGGTGCTGCTTGGAAGCGCCATGTAGAACTCACACAATGTGTATCCTGGATTAGAGTGAGGCTATACTCCGGTATTCTTGGTGTCCCTTGTGGCCATCCATGTTCATGACACCACACACGAACTATCCGTGTCACAAAAACATCCTTTTCCTTTTGACCAATTTCTCAATTGCTGTTTGTTTTCGTCGAGTCTGTCATTAGTCTTCCACTCAATCATGGGGCATCCTTCAAACGGTTCTGGCACAAAGCAATCATCGCACAATATTAGTAGCAACCTCTTACTCAGCCGTTCTCTTCTTGACCCAGTAAGGAGGATGTGCTGCAACTCAAACCGATGGTTAAAGCCATTTTGTATGTATTCTTGCGTCACCATGACAAGAAAGAGCCTGCTTGTGTTAATAGCATTCACCATTGCGGGTATTATGGGTTGGCCAATCAGTATGTCCCGACAAGGCAAGAAGACCTGATTTCCTGCAGACTCCAAGACAGTCGTGAGCTGTTGCCCAGCAACCTCACCATGTCTTGGATGAGACACGAACACGTCATACTTCGGGGCTTCACCGCCCTCCCCTTGAAAACATCCGAGGGTTTCTGCGGTTTTGACACATCTCCTACATGGATAAAAGGATCCTTCCAATATTCTGTTTCTCACTGGTATCACAAAGCGAGTTGATGTGAGCTTGGCTACAAACATGACAGAAATGAACATTATAAGAAATGTTGAAAGCATGAAGGGAAATTCAAATTCAATTAAGATCCACATGATCCAGTCCAGCCCGGCTTCATCGTTTTCACAGTAATTATGCAGTAGCTGTTTCTTTGGTCGGATCCAACAAGGCTCCTTGGCAATTGGGTCGGGGGTGTTTGTGAAGTTGACGAAGAAGAGGTCAGGGGTTCTAGGAGACAGGAGGATCCTGTGGGGGTATTTCACTTCCCTTATCTCCTCGCGTCCTAATGAAGCGTTGTAGACTGTGCGAAAAAACGCAAACTCATGATAGTTGTATGTTTTCTTACAGACACACTGCCATCCTGTGCCGGTTACTGAATTTCGCATTCGAACACTTCCTGCCCTCCAGGTGAATAGGTCGTTATGACCTCCGTTATGCCAAAACATCCAGTAAAACAACACTATTTTAGAACAGCCTGTATACAACCCGCCACAAACGGTATCAAATGGATCGCCGCCAATGGTGTAATTAAATGATACATCATCTATCTCTCCTAGGTGGTCGAAGGTGGCAGTGAAGGACACCAGACCACCAGGTGGCGCGTGGACAACACGGGTAAGCTCTTTCATCTGGACAAGGCTGAACACCTTCACCTTTTGGAACTCATTATTTTGTTGCTGTTTCTTTCCGGTTAGTCGCAGAATGGGTTTTGGGGGCGGCGGTGGTTCACACAGACAAAAACACATACATGGAGGGGGTGGCTCTAGGGGACACATGGGTGGCTTGGGCTTCGGAAGGGTAATGTGTATGACTATTGCATTGTCTTTCACCTTGCATGAATAGTTTCCAAAATCAGTTTGGTCTATGAATATTATTGTCAGTTTAGAGGAAATTAAATAGTCCGTGTGTTGCTCACCATCCTCACCTGCGGTGACATTCTCGAACGTCCAGGTAATGTTAATATGGTCTGAAGTGTGCAGAGGTTTGCCATCTTTCTCCCAAACCACTTGATCTGGCCAAGGAAGGACTTCCGCGGAATACCTCTGATGTCTGTAGCACTCAAACACAACTTCTTCCCCGGGATATTTGGTGTGCTCCTCAACACTGAATGGGATACTATCAGTCATGTGTCGAAACTTGATAGGGCCTCTCATCTCATCTATCTCAACAACGCTGTCACTGATCCTCCCCAAGATCTTCTTCTGGAGGACTCGGGCCATGTTGATGGATGTAAAGTCTAATCCAGACACGATGACACAACTCAAGGCAGATATGAAACTCAAATATAGCAACACTTTCTTCAAGCCATATCTTTTAACGAACGCAACGACGCCGGCAATGCACAATCTCAGTATGCTTAAACCACTGTGGTAAATGGCGTAGGTTGACACAGTGATGTCGAAGGTGGCAAGTTCAACACTGTCGCTGGGCAGGAACCTCTCCTGACTCAACTGCCACAAGCCAAGCCCCAGGTGAAAGAGCAAACCTGACAGGATGGTCCAGTTGCTGTATGGCACATGTTCTGGTGTTAGGAGGTCCATAGCAACTGCAACAGAAAATATCATGTATGTGTAACGCGCATTGATGTTATTTTTGTAAATTTCTGACATTACTTGATGATTTCTCAATCTGTGAATTACTGAAATAACTCGTTGATTTCTCAGTCTGTGAATTACTGAAATAACTCGTTGATTTCTCAATCTGTGAATTACTGAAATAACTCATTAATTTCTCAGTCTGTGAATTACTGAAATTACTCATTGATTTATCATTCTGTGATTTACTGAAATAACTCCTGTTTCCTCATTCTGTAAAGGGCGATATTTGAATGGGTTCGTCAAGTAAAGGAACTATTTGACAGTACTATGTAGATATATATTATCACAACATTACAAGGTCATTTATAAAATATTCACATATTCAAATTGAAATGTGAAAGAACATGGTCAGAATGGCATTTGTGTTCCACGTTCAACGTTAGTTTTGCGTTTTCTCTACTGACTAAGTCTAAGTCGGCTGATACAGCACATTTCAAGCCACCGTCATTCACGTCAGTCAGCCTGAGGCCCAGCGTAGCCATTCTCTGTGCACAGGTCTGTCAATGATCCTGAATTCACAGGTTCGAATACCCAATTCTCCCTGATTATGAGTAGGTGAGTATAGTTCTACGCCGCTTTTAGCAATATTCCAGCAGTATCACGACGGGGGACACCAGACACACACACACACACACACACACACACACACACACACACACACACACACACAACCACACACACACATATAACAACCTGACTTGTTTAACAGAAATACTCAATCACTCACAGTGGTGCACTGGCAGTTGGGGTGACATTATTTGTTCACATAAATACCGACACGAGTTGCCCAGTTGTCTGAAGCGTCGCAATTTCCTGTACAGAGTTGTGTCCCTTGGGAAACCTACGATTGCTGGTTCGAATCCAAGTTCGCCCCGATAATGTTTCCAGGTTTGTCTGAACCCTATCCGTGCTCGTGGGTTTCGTCTGAGACCTGCATCGCCAAAGTAAGCTCACACACCCACAGCGTTGTCAGTGTATGTTTTTTTAAACATGAACCAAATTTCTCTTTAGAAAAGGTCTTCAGCAAGCAATTCTTGCCGTAAAAGGCAGCTCTGCTTGTCGAAAGAGGCGACTAACGGGATCGGGTGGTCAGGCTCGCTGACTTGTTGATGCATGTCATGGCATCACAATTGCGTAGATCGATGCTTATAATATCAATCACTGAATTCCTGGTCAGGACACGATTATTTACAGACCGCCGTCATATAGCTGGGATACTGCCGAGTGCGGCGTTAAACAACAAACGAACAAAAGACCATGCTTCTCTGTGAGAGTTTCCTACCTAGCTAATGGCAATATGTTTACTCCTGTAGCTCGACACGTCAGTTATTAACACTGTCCAGAAGTGCTAATATTTCGCTACACGGAAACTTGGTCAAGGTTTCCCGCATATGGGTGTGTTGTAGGCCTGTCCCCGGACCTCTCGACAATGAGCGCTACACGGAAAGGGTCAGCGAAATGTTGCATGCGGAAATAGGTCGGATAGAACTAGACTGGTACCCTGCCCTTCGCCTCCGAGCGGGTGCAGGCGAGGAGCACAAGCGCACTAGGGCAGCTAAACCAGTCTAGGACAGTGAGTGAGTGAGTGAGTTGGGTTTAACGCCGCTTTTAACAGTATTCCAGTTATATCACGGCGTGTCAGCTTAATGTGGGAGGAAAGCCCGAAGTGATGCAGGTCTCAGACGTTTACCACTTCGGTGAAACCCACGAGCACGGGTAGTGTGCTGACAGACCTAGAAACATAATTGGGGCGAACCGGGATTCAAACCCACAATCATAGGTTCCTAGCGTGCCCAAGGGACGCAACTGTCTAGGACGGAGAGTGATTCCCTTATGATTGTGCTGAATAACACAAACATGTTTAGCCTAATAATTTAAAGTTAGGAATGTTTAAAAAAATATTAAAGTATTTCGTATGTACGCATATCATCATAGATATGTGAGAATACGTCATGCAGTATGTTGTCAAGTATTTGTACCATACACTCCAGTCAAAAAATAATAATTTACTATTTGCGGCGTAAATCAACATTCACTCTTTAAATCAAACGATAGATGACCTATAACCTCTTACATGAAGTATATTGTGTACAGTTTCTCTTCCCTGAAGGCAAATATCATATAGTCATTTGAATAATTAAATGCAACTGTTCACATAGATGCAAAAATATATATTCACTTTCCACAACATGTCTAATAATTAAACAAATCACTGGATGAAACCATTCAAAGATAAGCCTGATAATGCCCTGTCTTTACACAGCGCGGTTAACCTCAATTGCTCTCACAATGCACATGAGCGCTGCACACAGTCTAGCTAGATGCGCGTGATGTCGGCCTTCGCTGTCGCGCCTGGATATATATCTCCGTGTTGTCACTGGTACTTAATAGCGACATGCCGATACGTCGCAACACAATGGCAAAACATTTGATCAAGAAATTCGTTTTAGTTCTTGATATGACGCAATCACTATGCTTATCATGTTACGGTTACCGTTTCGTCCCCTGTATATGAAACCACAAGCACTCTGTAAACAAACAATCCCCGGTGAAAACAAAATTGAAAACTGCGAGATGCAGGACCGTTAATTGGGTGATGTAATGCAGTGCAACATGTTTATAGCATCGGACACGCTATCATAGCCACTTACCCGATCTAGTGTCGGATGTTTGTGTTCCGAAACCTCGCCTTGTCTGACATTTCAACACCATCAATCATTGATGCACAGTCAAACGTTACTACAGATAGTAACAATCCTAGGTCAGACTGGTTCCGGTCTGGTGTGTTGTCCCTGCTATTCTGTGATATTTCCAAGACACAGTCCAGGCGTTACTGACACGTCAGCATTCCCACCAATTACATCATCTTGGAAAATCCGACTTGAATTAGCTGCGCTTAGGTCCAGTCAACATTGATATCATAGCAAGGTAGATAACTGCCGTTGAAAATACAAAAGGGGGTTTCCCCGATTCTTGGAAACTGAAGGTCACGTTGACCCGATGCACCCACTAAAAGCAGCAGTTATAACTAAGAATCGATGAAAATCCTTTCTCATGGTGGGTTTATAGAGTAGGACAAATTCAATAGAAAATGTGAACCGCGTGGACGCGTCTGTCGAGACCTCGGTACTTAAATAATTCTATAAATAGTCACGGACCGAAATCATTGCAGCTGAAGTGCGGACTTCGGATTCCGATATTAGCCGAACGGATTATGTTATGTGTTGTGGGAGAGGTAGACTAACATCTAGTCTCTGAAATGAACATATTTTACAGAAAAGAAACAGTTGTTAAATTATAGTTAAAAGATATAAATAATAAAAAGGAGCCCGGAGACTTTCTCTTGATACTGCAGTAATCTAGACTTGCAAACATTATAGACTTGCCTGGGCTGTATATTGGATATATTTGTTTGAAAGAGTCCGAGGCGGATACTCACGCTGAAAGCAGAGCCGGTAGAATGATACTACGGGCGCTTCGACAAATTAACAATATTAAATACGGCTCCGTTTTCTCCTTTGGGGGATTGCTTAAAAGTAGGGTCATTCCTGACTTGGATTTTTTAAAGAAAATACATTAAAAATGCTTCACTTTAACGGCGCAGATTTCTTTAAATGCGATACACCTGGACATTATAAATTGGTGAATAGGTAGATATAACACTAATCTATAGATTTAATCCCATTTGAAGATACATCTGTGTGTTTAAAGTTGATTTTGACCGCCCGGGCCAAGTCGGTTCCAACACAAGCCAAACACTTCTGATAGAGACTATGTTGAGAATGTAGAGGGAAAAGGGCTTCACTTTGAGCCCCTTGTTGTCTACAAATACTGCAATCTGTGACATTATAAAGTGGTGTATAGGTAGATATAATACTAATCTATAGATGTGAATCCATTTGATGATACATCTGTGAGGTTTAAGTTGATTTTAACAGCCCGGGCCAGGTCGGACCGAACATTTCTGACTTGGATTTTTTAAAGAAAATACATTAAAAATGCTTCACTTTAACGGCGCAGATTTCTTTAAATGCGATACACCTGGACATTATAAATTGGTGAATAGGTAGATATAACACTAATCTATAGATTTAATCCCATTTGAAGATACATCTGTGTGTTTAAAGTTGATTTTGACCGCCCGGGCCAAGTCGGTTCCAACACAAGCCAAACACTTCTGATAGAGACTATGTTGAGAATGTAGAGGGAAAAGGGCTTCACTTTGAGCCCCTTGTTGTCTACAAATACTGCAATCTGTGACATTATAAAGTGGTATATAGGTAGATATAATACTAATCTATAGATGTGAATCCATTTGATGATACATCTGTGAGGTTTAAGTTGATTTTAACAGCCCGGGCCAGGTCGGACCGAACATTTCTGACTTGGATTTTTTAAAGAAAATACATTAAAAATGCTTCACTTTAACGGCGCAGATTTCTTTAAATGCGATACACCTGGACATTATAAATTGGTGAATAGGTAGATATAACACTAATCTATAGATTTAATCCCATTTGAAGATACATCTGTGTGTTTAAAGTTGATTTTGACCGCCCGGGCCAAGTCGGTTCCAACACAAGCCAAACACTTCTGATAGATACTATGTTGAGAATGTAGAGGGAAAAGGGCTTCACTTTGAGCCCCTTGTTGTCTATAAATACTGCAATCTGTGACATTATAAAGTGGTGTATAGGTAGATATAATACTAATCTATAGATGTGAATCCATTTGATGATACATCTGTGAGGTTTAAGTTGATTTTAACAGCCCGGGCCAGGTCGGACCGAACATTTCTGACTTGGATTTTTTAAAGAAAATACATTAAAAATGCTTCACTTTAACGGCGCAGATTTCTTTAATGCGATACACCTGGACATTATAAATTGGTGAATAGGTAGATATAACACTAATCTATAGATTTAATCCCATTTGAAGATACATCTGTGTGTTTAAAGTTGATTTTGACCGCCCGGGCCAAGTCGGTTCCAACACAAGCCAAACACTTCTGATAGAGACTATGTTGAGAATGTAGAGGGAAAAGGGCTTCACTTTGAGCCCCTTGTTGTCTATAAATACTGCAATCTGTGACATTATAAAGTGGTATATAGGTAGATATAATACTAATCTATAGATGTGAATCCATTTGATGATACACCTGTGAGGTTTAAGTTGATTTTAACAGCCCGGGCCAGGTCGGACCGAACATTTCTGACTTGGATTTTTTAAAGAAAATACATTAAAAATGCTTCACTTTAACGGCGCAGATTTCTTTAAATGCGATACACCTGGACATTATAAATTGGTGAATAGGTAGATATAACACTAATCTATAGATTTAATCCCATTTGAAGATACATCTGTGTGTTTAAAGTTGATTTTGACCGCCCGGGCCAAGTCGGTTCCAACACAAGCCAAACACTTCTGATAGAGACTATGTTGAGAATGTAGAGGGAAAAGGGCTTCACTTTGAGCCCCTTGTTGTCTATAAATACTGCAATCTGTGACATTATAAAGTGGTATATAGGTAGATATAATACTAATCTATAGATGTGAATCCATTTGATGATACATCTGTGAGGTTTAAGTTGATTTTAACAGCCCGGGCCAGGTCGGACCGAACATTTCTGACTTGGATTTTTTTAAGAAAATACATTAAAAATGCTTCACTTTAACGGCGCAGATTTCTTTAAATGCGATACACCTGGACATTATAAATTGGTGAATAGGTAGATATAACACTAATCTATAGATTTAATCCCATTTGAAGATACATCTGTGTGTTTAAAGTTGATTTTGACCGCCCGGGCCAAGTCGGTTCCAACACAAGCCAAACACTTCTGATAGATACTATGTTGAGAATGTAGAGGGAAAAGGGCTTCACTTTGAGCCCCTTGTTGTCTATAAATACTGCAATCTGTGACATTATAAAGTGGTGTATAGGTAGATATAATACTAATCTATAGATGTGAATCCATTTGATGATACATCTGTGAGGTTTAAGTTGATTTTAACAGCCCGGGCCAGGTCGGACCGAACATTTCTGACTTGGATTTTTTAAAGAAAATACATTAAAAATGCTTCACTTTAACGGCGCAGATTTCTTTAAATGCGATACACCTGGACATTATAAATTGGTGAATAGGTAGATATAACACTAATCTATAGATTTAATCCCATTTGAAGATACATCTGTGTGTTTAAAGTTGATTTTGACCGCCCGGGCCAAGTCGGTTCCAACACAAGCCAAACACTTCTGATAGAGACTATGTTGAGAATGTAGAGGGAAAAGGGCTTCACTTTGAGCCCCTTGTTGTCTATAAATACTGCAATCTGTGACATTATAAAGTGGTGTATAGGTAGATATAATACTAATCTATAGATGTGAATCCATTTGATGATACATCTGTGAGGTTTAAGTTGATTTTAACAGCCCGGGCCAGGTCGGACCGAACATTTCTGACTTGGATTTTTTTAAGAAAATACATTAAAAATGCTTCACTTTAACGGCGCAGATTTCTTTAAATGCGATACACCTGGACATTATAAATTGGTTTATAGGTAGATATAACACTAATCTATAGATTTAATCCCATTTGAAGATACATCTGTGTGTTTAAAGTTGATTTTGACCGCCCGGGCCAAGTCGGTTCCAACACAAGCCAAACACTTCTGATAGAGACTATGTTGAGAATGTAGAGGGAAAAGGGCTTCACTTTGAGCCCCTTGTTGTCTACAAATACTGCAATCTGTGACATTATAAAGTGGTATATAGGTAGATATAATACTAATCTATAGATGTGAATCCATTTGATGATACATCTGTGAGGTTTAAGTTGATTTTAACAGCCCGGGCCAGGTCGGACCGAACATTTCTGACTTGGATTTTTTAAAGAAAATACATTAAAAATGCTTCACTTTAACGGCGCAGATTTCTTTAAATGCGATACACCTGGACATTATAAATTGGTGAATAGGTAGATATAACACTAATCTATAGATTTAATCCCATTTGAAGATACATCTGTGTGTTTAAAGTTGATTTTGACCGCCCGGGCCAAGTCGGTTCCAACACAAGCCAAACACTTCTGATAGAGACTATGTTGAGAATGTAGAGGGAAAAGGGCTTCACTTTGAGCCCCTTGTTGTCTATAAATACTGCAATCTGTGACATTATAAAGTGGTGTATAGGTAGATATAATACTAATCTATAGATGTGAATCCATTTGATGATACATCTGTGAGGTTTAAGTTGATTTTAACAGCCCGGGCCAGGTCGGACCGAACATTTCTGACTTGGATTTTTTAAAGAAAATACATTAAAAATGCTTCACTTTAACGGCGCAGATTTCTTTAAATGCGATACACCTGGACATTATAAATTGGTGTATAGGTAGATATAACACTAATCTATAGATTTAGTCACATTTGAAGATACATCTGTGTGTTTAAAGTTGATTTTGACCGCCCGGGCCAAGTCGGTTCCAACACAAGCCAAACACTTCTGATAGAGACTATGTTGAGAATGTAGAGGGAAAAGGGCTTCACTTTGAGCCCCTTGTTGTCTATAAATACTGCAATCTGTGACATTATAAAGTGGTGTATAGGTAGATATAATACTAATCTATAGATGTGAATCCATTTGATGATACATCTGTGAGGTTTAAGTTGATTTTAACAGCCCGGGCCAGGTCGGACCGAACATTTCTGACTTGGATTTTTTAAAGAAAATACATTAAAAATGCTTCACTTTAACGGCGCAGATTTCTTTAAATGCGATACACCTGGACATTATAAATTGGTGAATAGGTAGATATAACACTAATCTATAGATTTAATCCCATTTGAAGATACATCTGTGTGTTTAAAGTTGATTTTGACCGCCCGGGCCAAGTCGGTTCC